GAGACTGTCTTTGGCCTCTACATATGTGCTCATACACATGGACCCATACACACACACACACACACACACACATACACACACACACACACACACACACACACACACACACACACACACACGTTCAGGAACAAGGGGCCCCTCCCTCTTTTAGAATACCAGTGTAGAATGTAGGGACTCAGTGTTGCGTGGAAACCAAGTTGAACAAATAGAAGACAGTGGAGCTCCCGGAGAGGCTGGGCGTTCCAGGCAACAGGAAACGAAGCGTGTTAGAAGTGATGAGCATACCAGTTACCCTGATCTGGTCCTTACACCCAGAATCCAAGTATTCAGACGATATACTGAGGCTGAGGCCATAGCTCAATGGTACACCGCTTGCTTAGTATATCTAAAGCTCAGAGTCAATCCCCAGCACCACCAAAAAATAAAAGAGGTCAAACAATATTCTATAAACTGATACAAATTACTCTATGTATTAAGAATAAAACAGACACATCATGGAGGCTAGAGCAATGACTCGTTGGTTAAGAGCACTGACTGCTCTTCCACAGGACTTGGGTTCGGTTCCCAGCACACACATGGTGGCTCACAACCATCTGTAGCTCCAGTTTCAGAAAATCCATCACCCTCTTCTGGCCTCCATGGGCACTGCACACACATGGTGTATATACCTACATGCAGGCAAAATGTTTATACACAATAGGAATTTAAAAAACCAAATATGTACAGAAACAATTCCGTGCTAGAGAGATGGGTCAATTGTAAATTACTCCCTTGCAAATGTAAGGATCTGAGTTTGATCCTTAGAAGCCATGCTTTTTCAAAAAAAAAAAAAAGACATAGGCTGGAGAGAAGGCTCAGAGGTTAAGAGCACTGGCTATTTTTTCCCAGAGGATCCAAGTTCGATTCCCAGCACCCACACGGTGGCTGACAATCATCTGTAACTCCAGTTCCAGGTGATCCTCTGCCAGCATCAGGCACATGTGTGGTGGCACACAGACATATAGGCAAAATACCCATACACATAAAAATGAAGTTTAAAACCAACCAACAAAAGCCAAATGTGTATATTATCCCAGCGCCGAAGGGTGTGGTGTCCCTGAACCATTAACTCAGCTTCGCATGTCTCCTCTTGGCAATGTATTCTCAGGTGACATCGAGCTGGGGAGCTGGGCTGAACAAGTTTGCCGGCTACTTCAGAAACCCCTGAAGTGGACTGATAAACATAGGCCATGGGGCTTTTTCAAAGCTCCCCCACAAAGCCTCCATATACACATGCTTTAAGTCAAAACAATGCAAAAAGCTAGCAAATCTTCTATGGCATGAGTCTACCAGCTTCAAACACAGGACCTAGTGCCTATTTCTCTGCTGCTGAGTGTCTAGTCATCAACACTGTAACCATCTCCTGGATTAGATACTGCTACTTGTATCTTTCAAGAAGGGGAAATTAAACACTAGAGGGGGAAAAGGGGGCCAAATTTACTGGGTCCACTAAGGCTGAGACCCAAACTAAACTTATTCCTCATCCTCTTACACACTTGCACCAGTGTGCAGTTGTGTGTTTATGTGTGCATGTGTGAGGGATTTGTGTGGACAATGGGGCTTGCACAGGTTGGATGGGGGAATAAAGAACCTTCACGATCAACCCACAAGAACACCCCAGGTTTGCAGTCTATGACTGCAGCTCCTGGAAAGGAGGCCTGGGAGGAAATGGCTTAGTGAGTAAAGGGCCCGGTGCATGCTGCAGCATGAGGACCTGAGTTCACATCCCCAGCACACCAAGTGGAAAGCTGGACATGGCATCTGTGCCTGTAAACTCCGTGCTGGTAGGCTGAGGCATGCAGACCCTTCGGAATCACTGGATAGCCATAACAGCAAGCCAGTAATTCACAAGACAGTGAGAGGAGACCCTGCCTCATAAGCAAGGTGGAGAACGACAGAGGAGGACACCCAACCTCAACCTCTGGCTTCCACATGCTCACACACAGATGCATGCTCAATATGTACATGCAGGCACTAGCACTCTTGAGGAACCCAGGGCCCTGGCACAGACATGAGCAGCCCAGCCTGGTGTCTCACACTGCCTCCATCTTAAGACTTCACGGAGGCAGCAAGCCCCGGTCTACAGTTCTCAACGTAGGAATTAGAAGGATGCGAGCTGATCTGCAAGCTGCTTCCAAATGATAGGGTATCTTAAAAAAACAATTTAGCCAGCCATCTGAATTCAATTTAGCAGAAACAACCGTGCTTATACACTGTCCAGTCTCCATGACGGCAGCCTCTGGTGTGAGTCCCAGCCTTCCTTCACTGGGGCCACCCTCATCCCTGCAGGGACCCCTCCTTCATCCTGAACCCTGCCTAAGGAATGCTGCTGGGCTTTCCAACCTACCCCGTCACAGCACAAGACAGACCTCATCAACCCAAAAGCCAAATAAGCACCACTCCTCGAGATAATGTGTTTTAATGAGCTGGAAATGGTGATTACAAGAATATATAGTAACAATGCATTTAGAACAAGGTAAAGAGAGGGCGCAGTGAGTCTGAGTCCAGACACCCTAAATACCTGCTCCTCACGTGGACAGCAGGCAGAGCAGGTGCCAGGGGCTGAACTGGGACGGTGGAGACTGCGTCCTTTCGTCCCCACTGTTCTCTCACACACGGGGCATGTGAGCTGGCTCCTGCCCGCCTTGCAGTGCCCACCACCAGCTGTCACCAGCTGTGCCCTATCACCCCCACTAAAGCCTCCCCGCCACCCCGAGTCCCCCGGGCACCAGGACTGCCTCGGCAGGCACTGCACCCACCGTGATTTGCCCACTGTACTTGGATGTGGGAAATCGTAAATTAGACTTACAAGCTTCGTGACACAAAGCAGCCTCTCACCCCACAAACACCACACAGGTACACACTCACCACACACATACTCTCCACACACATACCACACACTCACCGCCTAGGTACTCGCCACACATAACACACACACACAGACACACAGACACACACACACACACCATTTATACAC